TTTAATATTTGATGAAAAAAGTATTTTTAATAATTAATGTGGGGGTTCTGAGACTTAGCAATCATATCGAATAATTGTAGTGGATTTGTAGCTGAAGATGCCACCCATCCCATGCAGTTCTTAATGCAGCCAGTGGGGGGCAACAACTCAATGACATTTTTTATCCCTTAACAAAGGAAATTATTGTCCTATTATTGATAAAGAAAAAAAATATCTCAACATTTAAATCTTCCATATCATAGTTTTTTAAAATCATATTCAAGATGTATATTCTCTGGCAGAATGGTTTTTGTGTAAGAAAAAATTCAAAATGTTATTTTATACAACTGGCATACCACCATTTCAAACTGATAAGAGACATAGCAGCAAGGGATATAGTATCATGCAATATAAAAATAACTTCACACTTTCATCTACATTTTTTCTTCACTTGCTTGACAATAACAGGGAGGAGGGTGGACGGAATGCAAGGGTGGGAGAATGGTATTCAAGCATTCACCGTCCGAGCGTGGCTGACTCTTTCCCACAACAAAATTAACAGGAGTGATTGGTGGACGTTATGGACTGCAAGTGGCCCGTAGGAAAAAAGGGGGGATTATCTACCCTTGCTATTGCATGGGAAATCCAGAGGTGGTTTCGCTTCTTCTCTGCCAATGTGGTTTATTCAGTAAAGTTTTATACTCTTGGTAAAATAACGTCCCAGCAGTTCCTTTTTCTGGGTTCACCAACTGGACAATTGACATTATCAATTAATTAGAGGTGCTCTACATGAATATTCCAAAAGATCCAAGGAAAGAGAGTGTATCTTAGGTATCACAGTAAGTTGTCCAAAATGCTTGTTAAAAGGCATGATATCAGTAGTGTTACTTTTATTTACAATAACATAATCCATACCAATAACGTAAGAATATAGTATCAGATTCGGGAAACTTAAACCCACAGCCCTTAGCTAAGAATTAAAATAATAGCTTCAGAATTTAAGACATTCACAAGGATTTATAGAATGGTATACTGAGTTTTTAACATGCTATCCAGGCAAGGGAACTCCATGAAAAATATATAGTTTGGTCTAGCGGTTAAGGCACCAGGCTAGAAACATGAGGGGTGAGGCATGAGTTCAAGTCTACTATAGCCATAAAAGCCAGCTTGGTCTGGTAGATTGCTCTTTCCCAGTCAAACCCACCTCACATGGTTGTTGCTGTGGGAAAAATAGGAGGAGGAAGGTGCATTGCATACGTTTGACATCCTGAGTTATTTGTAAAAAAATATTACAGACAGGCATATCTTAAAAATAGCATTCATGTTGAGCACACTTACCTGTCTCAAAGGATAAGACTTAATAAACTCCTCTGTCAATATCCAGATAGGTATGTATATGTAATTTATTTAATATAATTTAATATAATCATTTGAAAAATATATGGAATAAGTACACCTAAATTAATAGATTTAGTCCATCAATAAAAGATTAGTTTTTAATAAATCTCTGCCTATTGCGATAGTTCCTAATGGTTAATAGAGTACTCCACAGTTCAAATGTAGTTATTGAATGCATCCATGCTGGAATCCAAGTATGACCTTCACAAATAAATATATCATTTTAAAAAATGAAATGGCAGAAGAGTTCTAAATAAATAACAAAAGTCAAAGAAAAAGCAGGCATCCGTTTACAGTGTGAAAGCAGATGAAAAGAAGAGAAATGAAAACCAGATTAAAAAAATAGGCCCACATCTTTTAAGAAATTCAGATTTAGCCAAGAAACTAAACATTATGATTTTTTTCAACAAGGTAAGGTGTTCTGTGATCCTGCATAGATACTACAATTATATTTCTTGTTGTTTCTTCCCTCAATATAGTAATATGGATTACTATTATAGTGGAATGCACAGTCAGCCAGATATTTAGATGGGATTTGGCATTTTTTACTCAGATATAGAGTCCTTCCAGATGTTGTTGATGGGGTTCAAGACGTCTTCGCAGCATGTAAAATGTTCCAAATAAAGCCGCTTTTTGCCATTGACTAGTGGTGGTTTTGTTAACGCTGCTGTTATTCAAATAGTGTTCCAGTTGTTTTCGGATTGCAACCAAAGCACTTCTAGCTATTGATACCATCTTTACTCTCTTTTGCCACATTATTCTTTTGCTATTTGCAGGTATTCTGTGATTTTTCTCCAGTTCTTTCTCTTCTACTCTGCTCTTTCCAGTATGGCCCCATCCACTATCAATACTTTTTTGTCTTCCATATCATCCATTGTCAAGTCTGGACCGTTATGTGGCAGGTGTTTATCTGTTTGAATTCCTTATTATTTTGTTTATTATTTCCGCTTTGAGGCCACCGAACTCCATAGCTTTCAGATAAAAAGAAAAAGAAAATAAGACAGACCAAGAAAAAAGAAAATAATTGACTGGAAGCCAGCGAAGTAACGGCAAGAAAACTACAAACAGTCTAAGAAAGTCCAAACGGTGGTAGCAGGCAGGAGCAGCATTTCATAGTCAGAAGCACCACCAAGAAGACCGTTTCCTAATTTTCACAAGATGATACTGCTTAGTCTATCATCTGCACCTCTATAACTGTCTGGTTTGGTTCTGCAGCCCAACAAGACAGACACAGGCTTCAGAGAGTAATTAGGACTGCAGAAAAAAAAACAATGGCTCCCAACCTGCCTTCAATCAAGCGTTGAATGTTAAAGGTTGGCACCTCCAGCAGATGCACCCGAGACCACCAAGCTAAGCTGGAATGGTGGCATTGCAGCATGAAACAGACCGCCCCCCGTCCCCCGGGCAGCTCATGTCTGGCTGCTGTCTTCAGCAGGTGCAGCATTTGAATCCAGAGGCCCATTTCATCCCTGCTTTGCAGTCACTCGTAGTCTGCAGCTCAGTACCGACTAGTTATTAAGCAACCTTTCAAAAAGATGGTAACTGAAATGGCCCCTTTTTTGGTTTTGTTTTGCAAAAGACTCACGGCTAAGTTTCCTAATGAGAAGCAGCCTTTATGAAAAGGCCAAGCGGGAAAACCCGTAGCGTTCTAAGTGGCAAACTGCCTGGGATTTTGACTGGCAGATTCTTTTCCTACAAACGCTCTGCAGCAGATGGGACAACCGCTTTTTAATGTCTCCACAGTAAGAGCGGTGGCATCTGGAGGGGAGACCATCCTGCAGCTGAGGCCTCAATGGGGAAGTCACAGCAAGGTCCCCAAGAAGCGGCCCTACTGCAGGGAAATGGAAAGGGAGGTCTATAAAGGCCCAGCTGTACTGAAGGCCACGTTAACACACACACACTTCATTATTTAGTGGTGCTTCACTCCTTAGCAATAAAAGAGATAAGATGATGGATAAAATAGCTGGAATTATTTCAGACCATGTTCCTATAAAATTATAGCCTTACTCTATACATTTTAAAAAATGGCTATCTCCTTTAAGAAGCTCTTCAATATACCTTGAATATGGTTGGTCAAAGCCAGTTATGAATCCATCTGGTGGTGATGTTTTTTTCAAATCTTACTAAGAAGTAGGTTATGGTCTACTTTATCAATTGCCTTCCTGAATTCCAGGTAAGAATTCACAACCTTTTGCTGGTCCACTGATTTACTTAGGTGCAGTGGTTAGAATGCAGTATTGCAATCTAAACTCTTCCCACCTCCAAGAGTTTGGTTCTGACTGACCCAGGGTTGGCTCAGCCTTTCATCCTTCTGAGGTCAGTAAAATGAGGACCCAGACGGTTTACAATTTGTAAACTGTTCAGAGAGTGCTATAAAGCACTATGGAGTGGTTTATAAGTCTAAGTGCTATTGCTATTGCTACACACTTTGTCAAAGAATGTATGTAGCAAGATTTGTCTGGCATGATCTATTTTTGGCAAATTCTAGCGGGCTTGTAGTAATAACCTTGCTTGCTTCTACTAGGATTCCCTCCCTCCTTCCTCCCTTTTTTGAAGTCGAGGATGAGGAAACACGCTGCAGTTCCAGAACGCAATCTAGAATTTAGGCTCCCTTCAGGCAGAGCCACAATCCACCAAGCAACTCATGTTGCTTCGAGTGTCCGTCCCCCACCCCCCCAAAACTGCCCCATGAACAGAATCACCAGCTGGACAGGCTTAGTGCATCCTGTACTGAGCAGGAGGTTGGGCTAGATGACCACTTGGATCCCCAGTTGTACGGTGCTGTGACAATTCTGCCCCTGTTTAGCTGCCTGAATACTTTTCCTACCTGCTACTACTTTTGTCAATTGCTTACTGGATCTGCGGGAAGCGGCAAGCGGCGATCCACTCGGACCGGGTCATACCACCCGCTCAAGCTGTAAGGCCGGGTGAAAAAGCGCTGCCCGCCGTTGAGGTCGGGGAGACGAGTCACCTGTCCGGACTTCCAGGCGGAGCTCCCGCGATGGCTGGGGCGGGAGAGGCCGTGCCGGGAGCGGACCGTCGTTGCTGAGGCTCCCGAGAAGCTCCTGCCGGCATTTCACGCGCACGTCTGAACTCGCGACTGGCAGGGCTCGCCCCCCGCCCGCCCCCCGCCCCCCTCCAGCCCCTGTAAGCGCCCGGCCTTGACTGGGATCCCCCCCCCGCAGCCTCGGCCCTCCCCGCCGTTTGCCCCGAGGCGCCCAGGGGCCGTCCCCTCCGGGGCGGTCGCCGCGGGCGAGACCGAGCGAGGCTGCTGCTCCCCTTCCGCCCCTTCCTCGCCGGGGGCCGCGGGGGAGGCGGCGGGGGGTCCGCGGCGGTTGCAGCTGCGGCAGCGTCCCCGGGCGGCCCCCCCCCGCCCTTCCCAAGCGGAGCGGCACATTGGTTTGCGCGCGAGCTCGTCAGAGGCGGCGCCGGGCCCGGATTGGCCTCGCCGGCCGCGAACCCGCAAGCCCGGCTCGGCTCGGCGCAGCCCCCTCGCCCGCCCCCGAAAGCCGCGCCGCTCGCCGCCTGGCCGGCGCGCTCCCTCCCAGCCGGGCTTTGTGCGAGCCGAGCCGAGCCGAGGCGGGAGCGGCGGGAGCGGCGGCGGTGGCGGCACCCGTCCTCGCCCGCCAGGGAGCCCCCTGCTCCGGCCATGTGAAGGGAGCCGGCGCGGAGCCCCCGTCCGCCGCCCCGGCCAAGATGCTGAGCCGGCTGGTGAGCGGCAGCAGCAGGAGCCTGGAGCGCGACTACAGCTGCACCGTCCGCCTCCTCGACGACAACGAGTACTCGTGCACCATCCAGGTGGGGGCTGCGGCGCGGCCGGGCTGCTCGCCGGGCCTGCCGCTGCCGGGAAACGCCGCGCCGGGGGCGGCCTGCCGAGCGGCGGCCTCACGCGGGGAGCTCGGCGGGCGAGGCCGGGCGCGGCGGGGTCCGGGGCTGCCGAAACGCGGCGGGGAAGAAACTTCTGTCCGGGGAGGCGCGGCGGGGGGCGGGCCGGGCATCTCCGCCGACCGAGCCCTCCCGGGAGGAACCCCCGCCCGGTGCGAGGCAGCCGTCGCGTCGGAAGGCAGACCGGGCCGGCCGGCGAAGCTGCGACCGGGGGAGGTCGGGCTGCCGGGGAGGCTGAGTCCGGCTCGGCTCCGGAGGCGCCTTTTTCTGCGCCTGGCCCGAGAGGCCCCGCCGGGACTGTGGCCGGTTCCGGAGCGGTGGCAGAAGCGGCGTTGGGTAGCGGTGCGGTCCGGCGGGCTGCGGGGCCACGGCCGGGCGCCTCTTCCAGCGCTGTGCCCGGAGAAGCGGCAGTCCCGGAGCCTTTCGCCTCTTAGCGGTTGCCCTTGCCCTTGGCCCTTGGCGGTTGGCCGGGCGGCTGGCTTGGTCGCTTGCCTGCTCCCCGCCCACCAGCAGCGCGATGGGGGTGACCGGTGGCCCGTTGGAGAGAACGGCGGGCTTTGCCTTTGAGGGTTATGAGGGGAGGGATCCGTTCCCCCCGAAGAAGGAAGCGCCTCTGCCGGGCTGAGAGGCTTCGTCTTGGGGCCCGCAAACCTTCTGAGGGCCCAAATGATGGGGAGGCTCCGAGTCCACCAGGCTAGTTGTGGCCTCGGCTTCAAGGCCTCGGACGGGGCATCTCCCGCCTTCAGGGTTCTGTGGGGGCTGTGGAAGAGCTCCGGGGACCCTCCACCCTCCCCATTGCCGGTGGGGGAGAGTCCCAGCATTGAACTGGTTTTCTGCTCCCAGCTTCCTGCCACCAGGAAGGCTGGTTTACTGCATCGTGCGAGGGACAGTCCTAGCGGCCATCGGGCCTTAACCAGGATGCATGGAAATCATGGTTCCAGTTTCGCAGAAGGCGCCTGGCTCTGGCCCCTCTTGAGCCCGGGTCAGGCTTCCCAGCAGCCTTGGCCCCACAGTCTGCCCCTCCGTCAGCCAAATGCTCGCGGACTCCACACAGCGTAACCCTTGGCGGGGTTAGGGTTAGGTTGATCGGCCTGCTGCAATAGGAGTGGGAGCCCGGGGCCCTGCGGAGGGCTCTGCGGCAGGATTCTTCGGCTCCTGGTCCTGCTGTTGTGCTGGCTTGAAGGGAGCCCTGATCTGGGCCGACAGTGCGGCTCTCTGGGGGCTGGAACCGCAAGCAGAATTTTGGAAGGTAGCGGTGCTCGGTGGCCCAGGCTTGGGCTGATGGCTTGGATTGTCTCATGGGAAAGAGATGGAGAAGCTCTGGGGTCTCACCCTGCTCCAGGGCTGTGGGTGGTGGGAGGCGAGTTCTCTGGTCCCCAAACTCCTCTTCCCTTCCAAACATTTCGGACATCTGCAAAATGGGAATTTCCCCTGAGAGCCGCTGCTTGCAGGGAGGAAGAACGAAGGGAGGCTTCTGGGGGGGGTGGGTGGGGGGAGGAACTACACGAAACACTCAACTCTTTCCTGACTTGAGGCTGTGATTCTGTTGGGTGGCTGGTTTTAAAGCAGGCTGCCTGGGTGCGCTTCCTAGAATGTGTTTTTCATTATCTTGATTATGTGAGGAACTGGATTCTAATCAGAACGTGTGACTCTCAAATCCATGCAGCTGTTCCGTGTTCAGCTGAAATAATTCTACGGCAACTGAAAAAAGCCCTGCTGAGCCCAAAGAGTCTGCAGGGCCTTTTCCAATCGAAACGGATGCCTTTTAATACCGCCTGCCGCACGTCTTGTCCCAGCCGAGAGGGTTAAACGGTGCTGCCTCCCCTGTTAAGCTCCCTTTCCTCCAGTGCAGCTGGCTGGGGAATTCTGGGAGTTGGAGTCTGCCAGGCTTAAAGTGGCCAAGGTTGGAGAGCCCTGCTCTAGTGGGTCCTTGGAGAGGGTCCCGAGTGGGGGAGGGCTCCTCCAAGGGGAAAGGGATGCGACTCCAGCAGCCTCTTTCCTTCGGCTCCACGCAGGAGGCCACGTCTCTCTAGCCAGGCCGGGGTCTTGAGGGGAGGAATGATTGAACCAGCACAGTTGCCAAGTGGGGGGGTCTCTTGAGCAGGGGAGGGTCCCATGCAGAAGGCAGGGGCCTCTCCAGCTGCTGCCCTCCTTAACCTCTGCCCGGTCCCCCAAAAGAGTTTGGGCCCCTGGCATCGACCACAAAGGCCGCCTTCCTGGGTTGCTGCCTTCCACTTTTGTCGCCGCACGCAAGGCACTCTGCTCTGAGCAACCCTCCGCACACCACATGCTGGCGCAGCACTTCCGGGGCAAAGGAGAAGCCTCCTTTTTAGGGAAGGGAGACAGGAGCGGGTGGGTGGACGGAAGGTGCAGGGCATCCCCAGGACTTCCCCGGGATTTCTTCCCGCCCTGCTCCCCAGATTCCTTATGTTTGCAGATCTCCCGTGCTGCCGTGACTTTTGGGGGGGCAGGTCAGCCACAAAGCTAGAACAAAGTGAGACAGACAGCTTCACCCCCAGGTGGAGAACAGATAATCAGAGTTGGAAGGGACCTGATAGGTCATCCAGTCCAACCCCCCTACCACCCAAGCAGGAGACCCTACACCATTTCTGACAGAGGCCCGTCCAGCCTCTTCTTGAAAGCCTCCAGTGATGAAGCTCCCACAACTTCCAAAGGCAGCTTCTGTTCCACTGATTGATTGTTCTCCCTGTCAGAAAATTCCTTATTTCCAGGTTGAATCTCTCCTTGATCAGTTTCCATCCATTATTCCTTGTCTGGCCTTCGGGTGCTTTGGAAAATAGCTTGACCCGCTTCCTCCTCTCTGGGGCAGCTCCTAAAATACTGGAAGGCTTCTCTCCTGTCTCCCCTGGTCCTTCTCTTCACTAGACTAGCCAAGCCCAGTTCCTGCAACCGTTCTTCATATGCCTTAGTCTCCAGTCCCCTAATCATCCTGGTTGTTCTTCTCTGTACTTTTTCTAGAATCTCAACATCTTTTTTATAGTGGGGTGACCAAAACTGGATGCAGGACTCTAGGTGTGGTTTTACTAAGGCTTTATAGAGTGGTATTGGTACCTCCCTGGATCTCGATTGTATCCCTCTGTTAATGCAGTTTAGGATTGCATTGGCTTTTTTGGCTGCTGCTGCACACGGCTGGCTCCTGTTTAGCTGGTTGTCCACTAAGACTCCAAGAATGGAGTCGTAATTGGCTGGCCAACTGCACTCAATGGAATTACATCCAAATGATGGGAGGCATGAGGTACTTCAATGTTCTGTTCTGGGCCCAGTACGATATTACTTGGCTTAAAACAGTTCATTTAGTGACCGCTTGAAGTTATGGTGGCAGTGGAAAAAAAAGACATAACTGTTTTTCATACTTACGACTGTTGCAGTGTCCCCATCATCATGTGATCAAAATTTGGACGCTTGGTGACTGATTCATATTTATGACGGTCACAGCGTCCCGAGGCCATGCAGTCCCCTTTTGTGACCTTCTGATGAGTAAAGTCGATGGGGAAGCCAGATTCACTTAGCAACCGTGTTTCCGAAATCGTTGGGGACAATATGCTGACTCTGTAAACTGCAGCCTAAGTGCTGTTGCTATTCACTTAATAACTGCAGTGATTCACGTAACAACTGTGGCAAGAGGTTGTAAAATGGGGCAAAACTCACTCAGGAAATGTCAACAGCAGAAACATTGGGCTGGATTGTCATAATTTGAGGACTCTCTGTACTCTTGCAACATCTTCATGCATGATGTAGATGAGGGGATAGAAGGGGAATCCATCGGATTTGCGGATGGCACCGAGTTGGGGCGAATTGCCAACACTTGATTAGAAGATGGGCTCAAGATCCAGAGGTTCTCTACAGACTTGAACGCTGTGTCCTGTGCAACAAAAATGCAATTCATTGGCGAGAAAGGTAAGGTCCGATTCATAGGCAGGAAAAACCAATTGCACATATTGGTTGAGTAGCTCAACAATTGTGGTTTAACAATAGTAACTGCGAGAGAAATCTAGGAGTCCTAGAGGACAATCAGCAAATCTGATGAATTCCCCTTCAATCCCCTCATCTACATCTAAGACTGGACCGTCATCAGAGAGAGCTCTGGAGAGTGAGCCTGTCTGCAACTTGTGGCCATAATGGCTCAGCGGAGGTCAACTCCATTGAGTAAAAGCCACCGGGGTTTGGGAAGGGGGAAGGGTGATTTCCTGGCCTCTCCTAGTCCCAGTCGGAGCAGTTGAGAATGCTCCCCTGCCCCCCCCACCTCATCCATAAATATTGATGAAGGATTCCTCTCTGTAGCTTCATATCCTCCAAAAGCTAAGTTGACCGAGATGCTCCTTTTCCTTCCCCTCTGCCAATAAATGCTGTGTCGACGAATCCCCCAATTTATTCCAGGCAGGTCTCCTTTCTGGAACAGCCTGCCTCTCCTCTGAATTTCTCCCCGGTTCTGCCTGCTCTTCCTGCAAGAGAAAAGACACCTCGGCCAGTTCCTGCTCTCTCTTTCTATTTCCCCCGTGTAGCTTCTCCGGTGTAGCTTTGCCAGCTCTGGGAGAGCCAGGAGACTGCAGAGCTGTGGCAGCAGCTGGCATCCCCCACCGGCCCCATGGAGCCCCCCCCCCGCTCTGGCCTGGGGGAGGGCAGGGGGAGCTGTCCCCTGGCTGTCTGGGTCAACCCAAACAACCTCTGCCCCCAGCCTCAGCTGCCCCCCGTTGCATGCCCAGAAGGAGCGCAGCCCAGTCCCGGGGCAGGCCAGTCCGTGCTCAGTGACCCGCTCCGTTCCCCCTTCTGCAGAATCGGCAGCTTTGGGTCATTCCAAACCAGTATCAGCCAACTCCAGAAGGGTCTTCTTCCTCTGCCTTGGGGAGGGGAGGCAGGCAGTAGCAAGCACGGACACCTCCCCCCCCCCCCCA